AGCGAGTCCGGTTCAACTCGACGTTTTTTAAAACGCTGTTACAAAGTATTGAAAGACGGCTGCCTTAAAAAATAAAAATAATAAAAATAAAAATAAAAAAATAAAAATTAAGAAAAAAGAAAAAGAAAAAGAAGTCGGGCAATGGGGGTTTCCATAATTTTCACTAAAGAGAGAGTTGACGTATTTTTTATTTTATCTTGACCTTATGCAACACTCATATTTATAGAATATTATACTATGCACAAGGAGTCACAAGAACTCCAAGCCATTAAATATCAAATTAGATCTCCTAATCATTAAATGTCAAATTAGATGGCTTGAGATGATTCATGGAGTTCAATGATGATCTTACAACCACCTAATCTAAAATCAGACAAATATGTGTTTGTAACCTCCCTGTACTAGATGTAAACAGTTGTTAAATGTACTTTCCTCTAAAATCTTATATTTTAAATATAAATATTTTAATATTAAAATAAGGGAAAAGTTTATATAGAGCGAAGGCTCTAAACAATCAAATTTGAGCCTACCTCCAGAATTTCACTACAATTGCTTGTTTTGATGCTCAAATATCTTCAAATTAATCATCTCGACATCAAGATGCATGGACATGAGAAAAAATAGAATGCAAGTTTTGAAAATAGTGTATTTTGTAACGTTTTTTTTAACCGTTAAATTTCAAGATTTTCATAGTACTATTTTTTAAGCTTTAAACTTTATAAATAAAAATAAAAATTTATTTTTAAGGCTATCACAATGATTTTCAATATTGAAACCACATTTCTCGATACTATTTGAAGGTAGGCCGTAATTGGATTGTTTAGAGCCTAGGCTCTATACAAACCGCATCCTTAAAAAACAAAGATTACTATATACTTCAAATATAAAATAGTTTTCTGTTTTATAACGAGCAAGTTATGCTTATAATATTTGTTTGGGTTGAAATCCTAACCATTTCTCACAGCCATTTGTATACTTTAAAAACTCCTAAACTGTACCTGTTCATCCATGGACCCCTTACCTACCTCGCCCAGCCGAGCCATTGGGCCTCGGCTGAAGCCCGACTTCGCCAAAGCTCATTCTTAGGCTTTACAGGCCCACACTGGCAAGCCTATGCCATGCCAGTCGGCCCGTTACCAGCCTTACTAATGTGTTTATTAAAGAAGTTCAGAGAGTGATCTCTCGCAAAAGAACAAAAAATTATTTCTCATTTGATAACTCTTCGTAATCCACTGGACGATAGGAAGATCATCATGATTAGTGAACAAAATAAAAGAAAAAGACCACACACGTCAATCATTAAACCCGCCCTCCCAAAGACGTCAATAAAAGATTACAAAGTCAAGGGAAATTTCTGATTCTACTTGTTTAATGCAAAGGTCATCGAACCCCCATAGCAAGTTAAAGGAGAAAATGTTAGATAATAGAAAACAATAAAATAAAAGTCGAGCATAATTTCTCATTGGGTGATTTCGGGCCCTTGGCTTATGCCTCACTACTGAAACGCGTTGATGTAATCCCATCCTTGCCTCCAATTTTTTTTTTTACCTGTTTTTTTTAAAGGAACCGGTTTCTATATGACCAAGCCCACATATGCAGAAATGCGGACCTCTTAATAATGGATTTTAAGGCTTAGCTTTTTAGGATATGTAATCTATAATATAGAGATCATGATTATGAATAAATAAATAAATTTTAAAAACTAAAAATAATAATTCTTGTAAAAAAACATTTGGACAGTTGGTTACCACTGTTTTTAGATGGAACACGTACTTGCATCCATCTTTAAGATGGATGCTTTACACTTTCAGGACCGCATATGTAGAAATGCCGTCCAGCCCGTATGAAACCTTTTTTCTTTTTTAAATAGATTAGAGAAGAGAAACGATGCAATGTGGTGATTAAGTGTGGGGATGTTGACCCAGCGCTTTCCTAATCCCATCCTACCTATGCTTAAGTCTTATTATAGATACGACGAGTATCCTTATCCCTCTAAAGAAAAGTCCTTCATGAGTCAGCGGGTGCAACGTCCATCTTTAAGATGGACCTTGTAAAAACTCACGAGGTTTATACGGTGGAGAATTTTTTCAAAAAAATCACATTTCAAATAGAAAAAATTATATTATTTTCATATTCATGATCATCTTCACATAGATCATGAATCCCTAAATTTTGAGATTAGAAATCCATTTCTAGATAGGTTTAAGAGGGGCCCGCATATGTATAGTATAAGCCGGATGACTCATAGAATCCTCATCCTTGTCCAAAACAGCACAGAATCACCTGAGGTGGCTTGGAACGGGCAGATTATTAGTCTAATTTGTCTAAAATTAACTATGTTTTCTATTTATTTTATAAATGAAAAAAAAATTTTACTTTGATTTATCGCGCATTTCTCCACCAAATCCTCTCAAACTTATCATAAATCGATCGCCTCTCAT